TTCTGCTCTGTGTCAGTGTGTATCATGGTCTCTGAGGACAGGTGTCAATCCATGTCTGCCAAGTGACCCTATGTAGGAGGAACAGTCTCTATTCTGCTCTGTGTCAGTGTGTATCATGGTCTCTGAGGACAGGTGTCAATCGATATCTGCCAAGTGACCCTATGTAGGAGGAACAGTCTCTATTCTGCTCTGTGTCGGTGTGTATCATGGTCTCTGAGGACAGGTGTCAATCCATATCTGCCAAGTGACCCTATGTAGGGGGAACAGTCTTTATTCTGCTCTGTGTCAGTGTGTATCAGGGATCTCTGAGGACAGGTGTCAATCCATATCTGCCAAGTGACCCTATGTAGGGGAACAGTCTCTATTCTGCTCTGTGTCAGTGTGTATCATGATCTCTGAGGACAGGTGTCAATCCATATCTGCCAAGTGACCCTATGTAGGAGGAACAGTCTCTATTCTGCTCTGTGTCAGTGTGTATCATGGTCTCTGAGGACAGGTGTCAATCCATATCTGCCAAGTGACCCTATGTAGGAGGAACAGTCTATATTCTGCTCTGTGTCAGTGTGTATCATGGTCTCTGAGGACAGGTGTCAATCCATATCTGCCAAGTGACCCTATGTAGGGGGAACAGTCTCTATTCTGCTCTGTGTCAGTGTGTATCATGGTCTCTGAGGACAGGTGTCAATCCATATCTGCCAAGTGACCCTATGTAGGGGAACAGTCTCTATTCTGCTCTGTGTCAGTGTGTATCATGGTCTCTGAGGACAGGTGTCAATCCATATCTGCCAAGTGACCCTATGTAGGGGGAACAGTCTCTATTCTGCTCTGTGTCAGTGTGTATCATGGTCTCTGAGGACAGGTGTCAATCCATATCTGCCAAGTGACCCTATGTAGGAGAACAGTCTCTATTCTGCTCTGTGTCAGTGTGTATCATGGTCTCTGAGGACAGGTGTCAATCCATATCTGCCAAGTGACCCTATGTAGGAGGAACAGTCTCTATTCTGCTCTGTGTCAGTGTGTATCATGGTCTCTGAGGACAGGTGTCAATCCATATCTGCCAAGTGACCCTATGTAGGGGAACAGTCTCTATTCTGCTCTGTGTCAGTGTGTATCATGGCTCTGAGGACAGGTGTCAATCCATATCTGCCAAGTGACCCTATGTAGGGGAAACAGTCTCTATTCTGCTCTGTGTCAGTGTGTATCATGATCTCTGAGGACAGGTGTCAATCCATATCTGCCAAGTGACCCTATGTAGGAGAACAGTCTCTATTCTGCTCTGTCAGTGTGTATCATGGTCTCTGAGGTCAGGTGTCAATCCATACCTGCCAAGTGACCCTATGTAGGGGGAACAGTCCCTATTCTGCTCTGTGTCAATATGTCATATGTCAGGTATCAATCCATGTCCATTGTGATTTAGGAATGTTAGGTGATTTCTGCCCTTTATGGATTAAGACCAGTCTCTGCATCAACTGTGTAATTTTCCATGGGAGTTTTGCCATGGATCCCCCTCCGGCATGCCACAGTCCAGGTGTTAGTCCCCTTGAAACAACTTTTCCATCACTATTGTTGCCAGAAAGAGTCCCTGTGTGTTTTAAAATTCACCTGCCAATTGAAGTCTATAGCGGTTCGCCGGTTCGCAAACATTTGTGGAAGTTTGCGTTCGCGACATCACTAGTTAACAGGTCTTCTGAGCTGCAGGTCTTCAACAAATAACCATTTCACAATCCATACTTTTCGCCTTGTAGAAGAAAGCAGCAAACAGTGGCCCAATAAGAAGTGACAACATCATACAAGTGCATCAAGATAAATATAAATAAAATTGTAAAAGTCTAAGCTACCTCCATCACAATCCTACTGGGTTTATTCTGCTCTAAAAATGTGTGCAGTCCTTTCTGGATCCAAAGATGGACTACTTTTCTATATGTCTTCTCACTGATGCATATTTCAGCTTGTCGTTTGTGGGCTAAAAGCACTGAAATTAGTGCAATCGCAAAATATTATTTGCCATTTGTTCACCTACAGAACGGCTTGATTTTAATGTGGGATGAGCTGGGACTGATCCCATACCCCCTTCCCAAATTTCCAAAATCAACTGGACTGTCCCCAATTTGGGCTCCTGTCCCAAAATCCTGGATAGTGTCCTGGTGTCCCAAGATGCATGAAATGTACTTAATCAGCATAGTGAAGATGCATTAAATTTGCAAAATGTTATCATCAAGCCCATGACAAAAAACAAAAAACATTTACCATGATGCTAAACCAAGTGTTCAGGGTTAATCATTAAAGTTCAATGAATTAAATCAAAGTAATTTATAATGCAGGTAAAACAGTTGATTTGAAAAAATAAAAATATCTTAGCTATAATAACAGCTTGACTAAATTTCCTACAATTCAAATTTAAATTTCAGAACAATTCTATTTAGTAAATTACTTGAAATGTAAAAAGTGTCCCTAAGCAGGGCAGTGAAGGGCGGAGGAGAAATTTGAGCAGATCAGAGGGGGTAACATCCACATCAGTAAGAAGATCACCGAGGGGAAGGTACGGCATGACTGTTTCCTTTAAAGCTGAATTGAGGACTGCACATGTTCTGTTGTGCATGTGCACAATATGACAAAATTGATATAAGGCAATTTGGAACATAGGGTTATATCTGTCTGATTGAGATCCCTGGTTGACTGTATTACTGTGGCACTGTTTTTGCAAGTCCTGTAACAATTTTGTGGAAAGGCAAACTTTGCATTTTTCCTCGTAAATAATAAAGAATTTGGGAAATGTAGAATCTGTCCTTGTAACAAACTTGTCTTGTCCCATTGCTTACTTTCTAAAATTTTGTGACACAGCCATAATATCTGCTTTTTTCCCACTAGTTATGAAATTTGCAGACCTTATAGTAATAAACCAGGGATGACAGTTATGACTGCAGAAACAAATCTTAATATTTATTTTGCTAGGAAACTAGAAAAACACTTCTTTCCCAAATGTCTATCTCTTTTTATTTGCCTAATGCATTATTTAAATGCTAATCCGTTATAGCACAACAAATTTTCATCCACTGACCAAAATCCTACCTGCATTGCTTCTAGATTTGTACAACATTTACAAACATGTCCAAATTGATTCAATGTTAAGTAAAGTTCAGTGTTTAAATTGAATTTAAAATGCTCATAGTAAAATCTTCTCTTCACTTGATCCACTGCCTTTTCCAGAAAATATGCAGAATATCTGTTTATACTTTATACATTTTTAAACGTTTGCAATATTTTTTTAATAAGTGAAATTTCATGCATTAACACAATCTGCTTGTAGATGTGAATTATCATCTTGTCCGTATAAAATATTCATTACTGCATTATTTTTGTGTATTGCTTGCCAAATGCACATCCAATACGACATGAAAACATGCTCAGTGAGAACATTACACAGGGGTACCAGAAAGTGGAGGTTGGTGACATTTTAAGGTTCTGCCTAAACTACTGGTCTTAATGAAACAACTCTGCCCCAAACTTTATAGACACTGCAGATAAGATCCAAATGACCAAACAAAGCTGGCATAAACTCAAGAAAATGAAAATTTGATTTACTAGTGAAAACTAAATACACTTGTAACCAGTTGCCAAAAGTATGCAGATACTGCTTACTCTTGTCCTGTTAGAAGATTCATTCCTATGTAGTCTATCCATGAACTTCCTATCCAGGGAAACAAGGGATAACAAGTAAATATACTTCTTCTTAACATGTTTTCTTTGACATCCAAAGCCACATGCATGCCCAGCTGAGACAGCTCACAAAGTGTGTAATGAGACCAGAAAATCAATCAGAGATCAGGAGAATAGAGTAAACGGACAAAATAAAAAAATACAGCAACAGTAAATACAAGGTAAACTCTTGGGCTACTAGAACCACAACAGGGTAACAAGGAGTGCTAGAGGTAACTATATATAGAGATAACTTAACTTCTATTGGAATTCCCTTATTTTCCTACCTGGATCATCATTATGCGCCAAATTAATTCCATCAAATTCGCCATGAGGATCGAAATTTAATCTGGTAAATTCGCCATGCAGATCCCTATTTGGTGTCCTTGAAAACACGTTTGGATCTGAGTGTGAGGTAAACAATCCCGACAGTATCTCCCTTGAGGACCGCCCAATGGGAGGAGTGCAGATTGCTTGTGCAGAAAGTCCATGAAAAGCACAAACCAAAGGGAAGCATATACTTCAGAGGAAGGGACCCAGGAATAGAGTTGAGCAGACACCTGGATGTTCGGGTCTGGCGGGTTTGGTCGAACTTTGAAAAAAAGTCCGGGTTCGGGCTCGAACTTGACCCCAAACATGACCCTGAACCCGAACTCCATTGAAGTCAATGGGGACCCGAACTTTTGGCCACAAAAATGCCTCTAAAAAACTCCTGGAAAGGGCTAGAGAGCTGCAAAAGGAAGTAAAACGGGAGTAAGAGTAGGACAAGTGCCCTGCAAACAAATGTGGATAGGGAAATCACTTAAAATAACATAAAAATTAAATACAGCTGAGCCATAAAATAGCACTAGATGCAATGTTTGATTTTAGCTTTGGAAGAATATAAAGCAAAATCTAAAGCATGGCTGTCAGGAGGATCACCAGAATTATCCATTTGAGAGAGGGTTGGAGTGCAGGGTATTCTCTTTCATTGTTCAAACTGAGCTCAATGGATAAAAGGCCTTCACAAGCCTCTGCTAATGTGTACCTAGTTTATACTAAGTGACCCATAGGTTGAGGAGGCAGTGACCGTGGCAGTGGAGGAGGAGGATGAGGTAGCCAACACTGTTATTTATGTTTTGTTTTTTGTTTTTTTATTGTGGTAGCCCACAAAATATTGAGACATACAACAAAAGAAACATTTGCGGCCTGCGGTGCATTTCTTGCAGTCCTGATGCATGGAGAAATGCTCACCTCCTGATGCATGGAGAAAAGTTCTTCACAAGCCTCTGCTAATGTGTACCTAGTTTATACTAAGTGACCCATAGGTTGAGGAGGCGGTGACTGTGGCGGTGGAGGAGGTAGCCAACACTGGTTTTTATATATACATATATATATATATATATATATTTTAATTGGGGTAGCCCCCAAAATATTGGGACATATAAAAAAAGACAACTCTGTTCCGCAGAGTAGCTGTTGACATTATAGTTGCGCAGGCACTTTATTGACTCTAGAGAACCTAGGGCCAATCGCACATCCCTGTGGCGGCGACTTTGCATGCGGAAGTCATCCATATCAACTTTCGATGCCAGTTTCTGCGCCTACCATGGTGACCACGGATAATGGGGAATCAGGGTTCCATTCCGTACAGGGACTCTGAAAAATGGCTACCATGTGCAAGGAAGGTAGCAGGCACGCAAATGACCCACTCCCGATGCGGGAAGGTAGTAACGACAAATAACAATACAGGACTCTTTAGAGGCCCTGTAATTGTAATGAGTCAATTTGAAATCCTTTAACTCTGATCAGTTGGAGGGAAGTCTGGTGCAGAGCCACTGACCCGTGCGTGCTGCAGCTGAAACTCCACTATCGCCTGCTGCTGCTCGCACAGTCTCATGAGGCGGTGAGTGGGAAGGCCGAAGTTATGCTGCAGCGCAGACAGGCGAGCAGCAGCAGGGTGACAACACCAAAAGCGTGCACAGCCGCTACAGTGAATGTCAGTATCAAGTACTCTTTTTTCTGAAGCTGCATCAGGGTCCTGGTATGTGGCCACACAAATTCTGGTGCTCAACACCAGAGGGCGTGCGGTTACCCTGCACCAGACCCTGCTAATCCATTCCACACTGTGACTCCTAACTTCAACATCAGGCATACTGGGTTCCCTGGTCGTCCGACTGCCGCCCAGAAAGTGTCTGGGTCCTGGACACCGGACTGCCCACCTCACTGTGAAACTACGAATGGATCGTTAAATCTGGTACGAACCCGAACTTTGCAGTTCTGGTTCACTCAACTCTATTATGGATCCTTTGATCGCTACATGTATTACTTGGATAACTGGTCATTCTCGAGCTAATAAATGCCGACGAGCGCTAGGGGACGGCCGATCCGCTTTTGCACCCTGCTCCCTCTTATGCTGTGCTGGTGCCTCTGTGCGACTAGCGCCTCTTCATCCAAACTGCCCACGTCACTCGCATGACTTTTATTCCATGTGCGGTCTAGGACCTCGTCATCCTCCACATCATCTTCCATCGACTCCTCAACCCTGCCCTCCTTGCCGGTATGCACACTGCAGAAAGCCACAACAATTGGCACCTGTGTTTTTCCAGCATGTAAAGTATGCAAAGGACATATGGAAATTGTTTTAGAATTGTATCCAGGCAACAGTTTTCCCTATAAACTGACCTCTCAGTTTGACTTGTGAGGGTATTGCCCCAGAATTACAATATTGTTGAAGTAACTTTTAGCTATTGATCACTGGTTTAAATATAGCAGCTTGTTATCTGGTAGTTTCTAGTGTAGAAAATATCAATCTGTTTTCTATCTCTTAAATCTGTGTAACAAGTGTTGTAAGTGTGAAACAATATTACAAGTGACCGATGTAGTAAATTCGAATCAAAGTTCCATTTGTAAAAAAAATTCTCGCCCATCTTCTGTGGGTTATTGCATTTTTAAGATGTAGACTTATTGTACCATGCACAGGTAGATTGTCTGGCACGTTGTTTTGGTGTTTGGTTTTTAACTTTGTAGTTGTGTCTTTACACAATATAGAAATGTGTATTAAGGCTTCTGTGTATAAAGCGATCACAATAACATTTATTTTTCACTTTAAAAAAAAAAAAAAAATCAGGCTACACAAAAATTGGTAATTCACAATATGACATCTGAAATGCACGTGAAAGGATGCTGTATGATTTAAAAAAAAAAGAACACACTACATGAAGGTCCTGTTCACTAGAGTGTGTAGTCATGAATGTAACCAGTAAAACTTTGTTGTTTACAGCCACTGGTTGGCCCATACATATTTTAAAACTTGTTTAATTTTGTTGTAGATATGAAGAGCAGGCCCCAAAATGTACTATTTAGCAGATTAGCACCCAGAAAATTAGATTTTTTACAAGTGCGCTGTAAGCACACTATTAGACGCTTCTATTTGACTCTCAGATATGAAGTGCACTACAGGCCCCAAAGTGTACTTTTTAGCAGATTAGCAGCAAAACAATTAGAATGTTTACCACTGCGCTGTAAGCACACTATTAGATGCTTCTATTTGACTCTCAGATATGAAGTGCACTACAGGCCCCAAAGTGTACTTTTTAGCAGATTAGCAGCAAAACAATTAGAATGTTTACCACTGCGCTGTAAGCACACTATTAGATGCTTCTATTTGGCTCTAAGATATGAAGAGCAGGCCACAAAATGTACTATTTAGCAGATTAGCACCCAGAAAATAATAATGTTTACCACTGCGCTGTAAGCACACTATTAGACGCTTCGATTTGACTCTCAGATATGAAGTGCACGCCCCAAAATGTACTATTTAGCAGTTTAGCACCAAAACAATTAGAATGTTTACAATTGCGCTGCAACCACAGTATTAGACGCTTCTATTTGACTCTAAGATATGAAGAGCAGGCCACAAAATGTACTATTTAGCAGATTAGCACCAAGAAAATAAAAATGTTTACCACTGCGCTGTAAGCACACTATTAGACGCTTTGATTTGACTCTCAGATATGAAGTGCACCGCAGGCCCCAAAATGTACTAATTAGCAGATTAGCAGCAAAACAATTAGAATGTTTACAACTGCGCAGTAAGCACACTATTAGACACTTCTATTTGACTCTCAGATATGAAGAGCAGGCTACAAAATGTATTATTTAGCAGATTAACAGCAAAACAATTAGAATGTTTACAAGTGCGCTGTAAGCACACTATTAGACGCTCCTATTTGACTCTCAGATATGAAGTGCACGCCCCAAATGTACTATTTAGCAGATTACCCTCCATAAAATAAGAATGTTTACCACTGCGCTGTAAGCACACTATTAGACGCTTTGATTTGACTCTCAGATATGAAGTGCATGCCCCAAAATGTACTATTTAGCAGTTTAGGACCCCAAAAATTTTAAGTTTTAAAACTGCAATGTGACAGCAGTATTTGACGATTCTATTTAAATCTCAGATATGAAGTGCACCCCACTAATGTACTACCCCACTAATGTACTATTTAGCACCCACATTTTTTTACTTTTTAAAACTCTGATGTAACCGTGGTATTTGAAGCTTCTATTTGACTCTCAGATATGAAGTACACCCCACCCCACTAATGTACCAGTTTGCAGAATTCTTTCCTAAGCTGTCCTCTCCCTCATCCTCTCCCTTCACTAATAAGACCACATGTGCGTGCAACGCTATGTGACTCCAGCTTATATGTAGATGCTGGGTCACATGTATCACTGGCCAATAGTGATGTACCGAACGGTTCGCCGGCGAACGGTTCCTGGCGAACATAGCATGTTCGCGTTCGCCACGGCGGGCGAACATATGCGCGGTTCGACCCGCCCCCTATTCGTCATCATTGAGTAAACTTTGACCCTGTACCTCACAGTCAGCAGACACATTCCAGCTAATTAGCAGCACAGCCTCCCTAGCAGACCCTCCCACCTACTGGAAGGCATCCATTTTAGATTCATTCTCAAGCTGCATGCTTAGTAAGAGGAGGGAAAGTGTAGCTGCTGTTCATAAGATAGGGAAAAGCATAGCTAGGTTAGGGATAAGGGTATGCTTTTTTTGGATTTTTTTTTCTATGTAATGTAAATGCACTTAGTTGTCTGCCACTGCTGCCAGCTTCTGTGTCAGGCTCACAGTGCCCATTTCCCCAGTCAGTGCCACCAATTACATCTGGTGTCACAATAGCTTGGATTTAAAAACAAAAAACTTTTTTCACTGTTATAGATTGAATAGCAGTCAGTTGTCTGCCACTGCTGCCAGCTTCTGTGTCAGGCTCAAAGTGCATACTGTGCCCATTTCCCCAGTCAGTGCCACCAATTACATCTGGTGTCACAATAGCTTGGATTTAAAAACAAAAAACTTTTTTCACTGTTATAGATTGAATAGCAGTCGTTGTCTGCCACTGCTGCCAGCTTCTGTGTCAGGCTCACAGTGCATACTGTGCCCATTTCCCAGTCAGTGCCCCACCACTGGTGTCACAATAGCTTGGATTTAAAAACAAAAAACTTTTTTCACTGTTATAGGATTGAATAGCAGTCAGTTGTCTGCCACTGCTGCCAGCTTTCTGTGTCAGGCTCACAGTACTGTGCCTTATTTCAAATGTGTCACCAATTACATATCTGGTGTCACAATAGCTTGGATTTAAAAAACAAAAAACTTTTTCACTGTTATAGATTGAATAGCAGTCAGTTGTCTGCCACTGCTGCCAGCTTCTGTGTCAGGCTCACAGTGGATACTGTGCCCATTTCACCAGTCAGTGCCACCACTTATATCTGGTGTCACAATAGCTTGGATTTAAAAACAAAAAACGTTTTTCACTGTTATAGATTGAATAGCAGTCAGTTGTCTGCCATTGCTGCCAGCTTCTGTGTCAGGCTCACAGTGGATACTGTGCCCATTTCCCCAGTCAGTGCCACCACTTATATCTGGTGTCACAATAGCTTGGATTTAAAACAAAAACCTTTTTTCACTGTTATAGATTGAATAGCA